AAAAGTATAAAGACAGGGTAAGCTGGCCTGACCCCACTTTCAACGGAAAGGCCCAGCCATGCTCACCCTGCCCGATGCCATTGTAGCCCTGCTCGTTCCCTTCGCAACGCTGTTTACCAGCCCAACCTGGCGGAAAGCCCAACTGCTGCTGATCGGCGCGATCCTGACCCCGGGCCAACGCACCGTGGCGGCGGCACTGCGCGTCATGGGCCGCAGCGACCAGCGCGACTACGCCCGCTACCACGAGGTGCTCAATCGGGCGGTGTGGTCGTCCCGCCAGGCAGCGCGCATCCTGCTGGTGCTGTTGCTCCAGCACCTGGATGGTGGCGACGGCCCACTGATCTTCGGCATCGACGAGACCCTGGAACGGCGTCGCGGCGCCAAGATCAGGGCGCGGGCCATCTACCGCGACCCGGTGCGTTCCAGCCGGTCTCAGGTGGTCAAGGCCAGCGGCCTGCGCTGGATCTCCCTGATGTGGCTGGGCCACGTGCCCTGGGCCGGACGCCATTGGGCCTTGCCGGTGCTCACGGTGCTGGCGCCTTCGACCCGTTACTACCAACAGCAGGGACGCCAGCACCAGAAGCTCACCGACTGGGCCCGCCAGATGATCCTGCAACCCCGCTCATGGTGAGCCTGCCGAACCACGCTGGCTGCCCCACCGACCCCTGGTGCTGGTGGGCGACAACAGCTATGCCGTGCTGGATTTGCTCCACTGCTGCCAGTCCCTCCGTGAACCCGTTACCCTGATCGCCAGATTGCGTCTGGACGCCGCTCTCTATGCGCCAGCGCCACCCCGTCAACCTGGCCAGAACGGTCGCCCGCCATTGAAGGGCCCGCGGCGGCCGCCGCTGAAAGTTTTCCTTGAGCAGACGGATGTAACTTGGGCCAGCGCCGAGGTGGCCTGGTACGACGGCATCACCCGCGCCGTGGAACTCACCTCCCAGACGGCGGTCTGGTACCGCTCCGGCAAGCCCCCCGTCCTCATTCGCTGGGTGCTGATCCGAGACCCCCAGGGCTCCTTCGCCACTCAGGCCCTGCTCTGTACCGACCCGGCGGCGGACCCGACCCAGATCCTGGAATGGTTTGTACTGCGCTGGCAACTGGAGGTCACCTTCCACGAGGTACGAACCCATCTGGGTGTGGAGACACAACGCCAGTGGTCCGATCTCGCCATCGCCCGCACCACGCCCGCCCTACTGGGACTCTTCTCCTGGACCACCCTGGCCGCCCACGCGTTGCAGAAACGGCACCCCATGACCCAGCGCAAGGCCGCTTGGTACGACAAACCGTCGCCGACCTTCGTGGATGCCATCGCCCTGGCGCGTCGCCACCTGTGGCTGGCGTCGGAAGGTTTCTCACTGTCGGTCGCTGACCCCGACATTCAGGAACTCCCGGTCGCTCTGTACCACCGACTTGTAGATTCCCTTGCCTACGCCGCTTGAATTGCGTAAAGCCTAGCCAATATGCTGGACGCAGCGGCCTGATCAACATCAAAAGGGATGACGCGCTTTTACACTACTTGACGGGACACTACCTTTCGGTGAACATCAACAGCCCAACTGACACGTTTTGCCGCCGCCCTTGACAGGCAGCGCAGGGAACGCGCTCCTGTACGTCGATTTGATATCAGTTGCCGACGGGATTAGATAAATGTAATATTCGGTCTCGGATCCCTGTTCATGCGTGAGGATTTTATGCACACCATATTCAAGAATTGTACTGTCCTACTGGCGGCCGCGGCACTTTGCGCAATTGTCGTCGCAGCGTGCGGAGGAGGAAGCGAGACACCTGCTCCGACGAGCGCATCCGGAGCGCCGGCGGCACAACAACCCACCGCAGCCATGGCCGAGCAGCCCACCACAGCCATGGCCGAGCAGCCCACCGCAGCCATGGCCGAGCAGCCCACCGCAGCCATGGCCGAGCAGCCCACCGCAGCCATGGCCGAGCAGCCCACCGCAGCCATGGCCGAGCAGCCCACCGCAGCCATGGCCATGACCGACGAACCCTTCCGCATCGGCGCGATGGACGCGCTGACCGGACCCGCCGAAACCTACGGCAACCCGATCATCCAGGCCAAGCTATTGGCCGTCGAAGAGATCAACGCGGCCGGCGGCATCAACGGCCGAATGCTGGAACTGATTGCAGAAGACTCCAAGTGCGCGGCGCTGGACGCCATCACGGCCTACAACAAGCTGACCGACGTCGACGGGGTCAAGATCATCCTGGGCACCACATGCAGCGGCGCGATGCTGGGCGCGGCCCCGTTGGCGGAAGCCGAAGGCGTGGTGATGCTGTCAGCGTCGGCGACCAGCCCCGACATCGCTATGGCCGGAGACTACATCTTCCGGACGGCGATCAACGACAACCAGCTTGGAATCGACACCGGTAATACAATGACGGTTGACGGTATCCACCACCTGGCAACTATCACCGAGTCCACCGACTACGCGGAGGGTGCGCGTCGCACCAGCGTGGCCCGCTTTGAAGAGTTGGGCAATCAAGTGGTTGCCAGCGAGAACTACAGCTCGGACATTACCGATTTCCGCAGTCAACTGACTAAACTGATCAACGCGGAGCCGGACGGCATCTATCTGGCGGCGCAGCAGGAGTTCTCCGCCGGTACGATCTTGAAGCAGCTTCGGGAGCTGGGATACGAGGGACCGGTCTACGCTGAGACAGTTGCCACGGGACCGGTGGCCCTGCAAATCGCCGGAGAGGCGGCCACCGGGATGAAGGCGATTATTCCCAATCCGGAGCTTACCACGCCGGAGGGTGTTGCTTTCCTAACCAATTTTGAGGCCCGCTGGGGTAACGTCGCCACGATCCCGTGGTTCCAGGCGTCGGCATACGACGACGTTTACATAGCGGCGGAGTGCCTGGCGCGTACCGGCGACGACCAGGATACCGACGGCTTCCGGGACTGCCTGTACGGACTGACCCGTAGCGGGGCCATCGGCGACAACTACAGTTTCGACGCTAACGGCGATCTGACCGGCCTGGGCAACGTGGTCGTGCAGGTCCTCCCGGTGTCCGAGCGCAATGACGACAACCTGGGCTACGTATCCTTGGGCGAGGCTCCGACGCCGTAGCCGCCGGGTGGCTCGCAACGCTAACCAAAGAGGGCTGGTCGTAGTCACTCGGCCGGCCCTTTATGCTATGATTGGCCTCACCATAACTAACAATCGATGATTTGCCAGACTGGCGAGGATTTCGTTGGCTAGCAACCGTGAAAGCGCCCGCGGGCTGCCCCGATTGATAAATGTGCCCGGTCCGCGGCTGTTTGCTTCCCTTTTGACGGCGCTCGCCCTGGGTTACATCGCCTGGAAAATCTGGCAAGCGCCGCCGCAGGCACTGCAATTTGCATTTAACGGACTCGCTGTGGGCGCGGTGTACGCCCTGTTGGCGCTAGGCTTCACCCTGGTCTACAGCACGGTATGGTTCTTCGACCTCTATTATGGAGCCGCCGCCGCGCTCGGCGCGTACGGGGTGTTCTACCTGCGCACCGACCCGGCGTTAGGAAGTCGGCTCGACATTAACAGCGTCCCTGTAAACGTTGTCTTCGGAGCGGTGGTAGCGGGTGTGGTCGCCTGGACGCTGTACACCGTACTGGAGCCTCGTTTAAGAGAACGGGCTAGCCCGACGGCCTTCCGCGCTGTCCTTGCGGTCGTTGCCGTCACGATGGGCATTTACACTGCGGTAGTGCTGTCATATCCGGAACACCTGCATCTGACCCTGAGCCCAGCGGTAGGACTGGCGACGGCGGTCGTTGCGATCTCGGTCGCTCAACGAGCTGTCCGGACAGTGGTTGCAAGCGTCAGTTCGACGCGGGTTGCACTGGTCGCAGCCGTACCGGCGTCCACGTTGGGCGCCTGGTGCGGCTACCTGCTGACGAACGCTCCGGGAGCGGGCCTCTACCTGAGCTGGGCAGTTTCGTGCCTGCTGGCCGGCTGCGTGGGGCTGGCGCTGTACCGGGGCCTGTACGCGTACATGCGAGAACGGGCACGGTCCCCGCTGATCATGCTGGTCGCGTCCCTCGGCATCCTGCTAGCCATCGCCGCACTGATCGTCATAGTGTTTCAGAGCGCTCCGCGGCCGTTGCCCGACGCCTTCGGCAGTACCCCATGGAACATCGCCGGCGCGCGCATCAAGGGGTTCAACGTATTTGCGATCGGCGTCGCCCTCGCCGGTTTCGCCGGCATGTGGTTCCTGCTAAAGATGACCTCCTTCGGACGCGCGGTACGGGCCATCGGCGACGATGAAGAGGTCTCCAAGGTGGTCGGGATAAACACCACCGTCATCATCGCCATTGTGTTTTTCATCGGAGCGGTCTACGCCGCGATGGCGGGGATCCTGACCGGCCACGACACGGCGGTGCAACCACGCATGGGCCTGCTGCTACTGCTGAAAGGCTGGATTGCCTCAGTGGTCGGCGGCATCGGCAATCTCTACGGGGCCATCGTGGGCGGATTTGCGCTGGGGTTAGTGGAGCAGTTCGGCATCTGGGACCTGGCAGGAGAATGGAAGGACGCCATATCGTTTCGTCCTGCTCATCCTGTTTCCTGTCGTTCTGGCCGCAGGGTCTGCTGCCGAGGAGGTGACGCGGTGCCGGTGGATATGCAAGGTGTGAGAGAATTTACCCAGGCAGCGCGAAATCCGCGAGAGCTGGTCCGCTACGCCCGGGGGAACATAGAGTTGTGGGCCAACCTGTTCGTGATCGGCGGGATGGTGGCGTTCATGCTGTGGCAGGGCGTCGGGTTCGCGGTGATCGTCGGAACCGTGTTTGCGATCTGGGCGATCCTGGCCGTCAGCCTGAACCTCGTGGTGGGATTTACTGGGCTGCTGTCGGTGGGCCATATCGGTTTCTTCGGGCTGGGCGCCTACACCATGGCGATCCTGACGTCGAACCCAGCGTACGAGCAGCTGCGGACGGAGGCGATACCGACATTCGGCTGGCCGTTCTTCGCGGCGCTGCCGGTGTGCATAGGGCTGGCGGGGTTGGCCGCCCTGCTGGTGGGCGTGGTGTTCAACCGGTTCCGCGACGACATCTTCGTGCTGGTCTCCTTCGGGTTCGCCATCATCGCGTACAACGTGTTTTCTCAACCTGAGGAGCGTCACCCGAGGGGCATTTGGAATACATGAGATTGCCCGGCCCCAGATTGGCGATTGGGTGTTCGATGGAGAGGTCGAATTCCTGCTGCTGGCGATGGCGTTCCTGGGTCTGGTGATGCTGATGTCATGGTCATCACGACTTCGTCCTTCGGGCGGGTGCTCACGGCAATCCGGGAGGACGAGCAGGCCATTGAGGTGTTCGGATACCAGGCCAGCACTACAAGCTGGCAGTCTGGTCATTTCGGCGATGATGACGGGTCTTTGCGGGAGGATGTTTGCCAGCTGGACCATCGTTCATCGACCCAACTCTTTCATCCTGCTGGAGTCGGTGCTGCTGGTATCCATCGTCATACTGGGTGGGCTGGCGACGATTTGGGGTTCGCTGATGGGCGCGAATGGCCTCGTGTTGCTGGAGGAAGGGATGCGGTTCATACCCATTCCTGCCCACGGAATACATCGTTCAGCGCTGTCAGGCATGGTGGTCCTCTGTGATCCTGCTGGTGCTGTTGATGCTGTGTTCCGGCCGCAGGGACTGGTAGGAGGTACAGCTATGACGACGGGCGACGGATCGTTGGCGCTGCAACGGACGGGATCTCGAAACACTTCGGCGCGGTGCGGGCGGTTGATGAGCTGAGCCTGTCGATCCCGAGGCAGGGCACTACCAGCATCGTGGGGCCCAACGGCTCCGGCAAGTCGACGCTGGTAAACCTGCTGAGCGGGGGTTCTGCCGCTGGACGGCGCGGATGGTGATAATCGACGGAGTGGGTCTGCGGGTGGTACGCGCGCACGAAACGCCGGCGCACGGGCTGACCCGCACCTTCCAGGAAGTGCGCCTGTTCGACCAGATCAAGGTGTGGGACAACATCATGGTAGTGCTAACGGAGCGACGCCTGTTCCCGTCTCTGCTGGAGCGGGTGAAACCGGCCACGCGGCAGAAGGCACAGCACATCCTGGAGTCCGTGGGGATGTGGGAGAAACGTGACTCCCTGGCGATGGACCTGTCCTACGGCCAGCGCAAGCTGCTGGAGATAGGGCGGGCCATGGCGATGGACGTGCAGACGTACCTGTTCGACGAGCCATTCGCCGGCCTGTTCCCGCAGATGGTAGAACGGGTCAAGGACATAATGAAGCAGATGCGGGCGGACGGTTACACCATTGTGTTCGTTTCACACAACATGGAAATCGTGCGCGAGCTGTCGGACCGGATCATCGTGCTGGACAGCGGGGCGCTGCTGGCCGCCGGCGATGTGGAACCAGTTCTGGGAAGCGAAGAAGTTATCGACGCGTATTTGGGCGCGTGACGACGCCAGCGTCGGTGTGGGAGATGGACCAGGACACGGCAAACACTGCAGACGCGCCGCTGTTGGAGCTGGTAGAGATCTCCGTGGAATACGGTGCCGTAAAGGGCGCTGGACGACATATCCATGGGCGTCCAAAAGGGCGAGGTAGTGGCGGTGATGGGGCCAAACGGAGCCGGCAAATCCACGGTCCTCAAGGCCATCATGGGGCTGGCCCCGGTGACGCACGGTAGCGTGTACTGGCGGGAACACCGGCTGGCGGCGGCGACCCACGAGATCGTGAAGGAAGGCATCGCGTTCGTGCCCCAGGGACGGCGCGTGTTCACGCACCTGACCATCGCCGAGAACCTTGAAATGGGCTGCATCTATCTCAACGATCGGGCGGAGAAGGCGAAGCGGCTGGATTCGGTGATGGAACTGTTCCCCGTTCTGTATGAAAAGCGCAAGGACATGGCGAGCGCGATGTCCGGCGGGCAACAGCAGATGCTGGCCCTGGGTCGCGGGTTGATGGCCGCTCCGGAGCTGCTGCTGCTGGATGAGCCCACCCTTGGCCTGGCGCCGATAATAGTCAAGGAAGTCTTTGAGAAGGTTGCCGAGATCAGCGAGCGGCTGAATACGACCATCATGGTGGTAGAGCACAACATCAAGGGCGTGCTGGACATAGTCGACCGGACGTACGTACTGGACAAAGGTACGGTGGTGCACAACGGGACGCCGCAGTCGATACGGGAAACCGATATACTCAAACCAAGTATTTTTGGGGAGCGCATAGACGGCTAACCTCTAGACCATAATATATTGAGCAACGTTGAGTTATGTTGACAAACACGCAGCATCAAGCACCTGACCGACGACCAAGCAACTTGTGCGACCCAGACCCCCACGCATTGCCGCGGTACCGTTGTAAAAATGGTTGACTTTAGTTACAGACTACCGTCAGCCATTGACGCGGTCTGAGCCGCGCCGCCGCCCCAACAGTTCAAGACGGCTCCGCCCGGAAGTCTCACCCGGGAACACCGAACTGGTCCCCGCTCAAGCCACCCCGCGTGTTTGACCACGAACGACAGCCTGAACCGGATTGGGTCGGCGTCTCCGCTTCCCCAGCCGGTGTTGCGCTGCAAGCGCCGGTCTCAGCTGTCCCGAAACAGCACCCCAGTACGTCCACACGTGCTTCACGCGCTTCCTCACGGGTACGGTGAAGGCGATCTGTACGCCATTGCCAATGGGGGCCACCCACCGGCGGGGGATGCGCTCGGAGCAACCAAGCAAGCGTCGGGCCAGCACCAGGGCCGCTGCCTGGTGCACCGTCAGCCCGTATCGCTCCAGGAACTTCACCCGGCCAATCACGGAACTGAAGGCCGGGTTGACTTGGTGTACCTCAACTCCCTGACGGTAGCCGCGGGAGATGAAGTACGCCTTGATCTTGCCGTAGCTGAAGCTGGACAGCATCCGGCTGTACCGGTGGGACTCGCCCTCCAGGACAGCCTTCTTCTGGCGGAAGTCCAGCCGCTCGATGACGATGGGCTTGCCGACTTCTCGGGCGTACTCCACGACGCTGGCCACCGCGTCTCCGATCAACGCTTCAGACTGACGCTGGAACTTGCCGTAGGTGACCAGCGGCACCCGCCAAGCGTTCAGGCAGTTGCCCGAAGCGTCGGTATCCCCCACCGCCAGGTGATCGGCATTCAGATCCACCCCGATGGCCCCACGACGCCGGTCGGTGGTTATCTCCACTTCCGGCAACTCAGTAGTGGCGAACACCCGCCAGCCCTTGCCGTCCCGCTTGAACCGGTAGCTGATGGCCTGGCCAAGGTCGGTGGCCCGCGCCGCCCGGTCCCCATGCTCGCGCCGGTATGCGGCGTAGTCGGCATTGCTCTCCAGGGCAGCGAGCACCTGCGCGTGCCCGTAGGCAAACCGCACACCCTCGATGACCAGGTACTTGCCATGCTGATTGGCCAAGCAATCCGGCAACCGAAGCCGCAAAGTCAGCCTGCCGTCGTCGGCAACCGCCGCAACGCACAGCTGGCAGCCCGCCGTTTCATCCCGGCTCCCCAGTACAAAGAACTCGTCGCTGCGCGCATCCCGCCACTCACTCAGCCACTCCTCGTGGCTCCCATAACCGTTGGCCTCCAAGTGATGCTGCTTCCGCCACAACCGCTGGACCCGAAGCACAGCCGTACCACGCCCTCCGCAATGTCGGCTTCCAGTCCAACCAGCCGGTGTCGAAGATTGGCCAGCCGCCGCTTCTTCTGATGAACCTGATCCCACCGGCCCCGCTCAGCGGCATCGGAAACCTGCCGCTGGGCCCGAGCAATCCGCCGCTGCAGACTGTCCTGCTGCAACCGCTGCGACTCCCGCACCGACGCCACCTTGCCCTCCAGCGACACCCGCACCCCGTTGAACATCCGCGCCGGTATCCCGTGCTTCTTGATGTAGTCGCTCTTCAGCGATGCCGCCGACCGGCCCGCCACCACGTCGGCGAACAGCTTCCGCTGCACCCGGCCGTACAGCTCGCCGTAGGCCGACAGCGCAGCATCGCCCACGCAACGGTCCCTGCCCTCATAAACCGCGCATGCGGGTCTGGTACGTGCTCACCGTTGGGCTTTGACCAACAGATGACTGGTCAGGTTGGCGACGGCGTTTCCTGGGACGAGACATGAAGGTATGATACCGGAACCACGGTTCGACTAACCACAACCGCGCGTCACCAACCAAACAAACCAAGAACGTACCATAAGCCACGATTGCATACCATTGCCTACCAAATCCGAGGAAATTTCGCTACTGAGGATTTGGTCAAACGGTGACTGAAAGCGTCAGGCCCTTGGGCTGATTACGGAGATCTGTCGGTAGATCGGTCAACATCTGACCCGCCGGCTGGGGAATCAGAGTGGTGAAATCGCCTCAATGACTGAAGCCGCCGCCTCAACGCAAGTGCCGGGCCTGTTGTAAGATACGGATGTGCGCGTTAAGGAGCCTGGCAATTGCACTGGAAATGGGACCCGAACAAAGACAGAATAAACCGGCAAAAGCACCTCGTCAGTTTCGACACCGCCATTCTAGCGCTGAACGACCCCTTGTCCGTCACGGACGATGACCCGTATCCCTGGGAACCTAGGCAGCGGACGACCGGAATGTTGGACAGCGTTCTGCTTGTCGTGGTTCACACGAAACCGGAATTTAATTCTCGTTACAACGTGGAGGTTGGTAGAATCATCAGCGCACGCCGAGCGACTCCGCATGAGAGGAGAATCTATGAGGAACACTGATCTGACTCCAAGCCAAGCGGCTGAGCTGGAAGCCCTCGCGGCAATGCCCGACGAAGACATCGACACGTCCGACATTCCAGAGATAACCGAATTCTCCAACCCACGGCGCGGCGTGTTCGCCGGCTCGCCCAACGTCAAACTTGAAACCAAGCCGGTAGAGCAACCGGCGATGAATTCGTTCGGCGGACCGTGGACCGCGGAGAAGCTGGAGATACTCAGGCTGTACCTGAACGCGTACACTACTGCCCTGAAAAATCGTTCCTTCGAATTGGTGTACGTCGACGCCTTCGCAGGCACAGGCGCGATTGACCTGAACCCAAAAGGCGCAGCTCAAAGGCTGACTCAGTCTTGGCTGAGTGAAGAAGAACACGCAGCGGTACTGGCCGCCAACGTCATAAAAGGGTCGGCACGCGTAGCACTCGAGGTGGACGACAAACCTTTCGACAAGCTCATATTCGTGGAACAGGATCCCACGTTTGCCGAAGAACTGATTTCGCTGAAGGGCGAGTTTCCCAACCGTAACATCCAAGTCGAAAAAGGTGAAGCCAACCAGTTCCTGCGAAAATGGTGCGAAGCCCAGGACGCAACACGTGGCGCCCCTTGGAGGAACCAGCGAGCGGTTATATTTCTTGACCCCTTCGCCACCGAGGTAGATTGGCAAACTGTAGAAGCAATCGGGCGCACCCAGTCAGTTGATCTATGGATGCTGTTCCCGCTCTCGACGCTGAGCCGGGTGTTGCCGGTACATCGTCAACCTGACGAGAAATATGCACCACTCTTGGACCGGGTTTTCGGCAGTCCAGAATGGAGAGAGTTGTACCGCGATAGGCCCCGGCAAATGACGTTCATGGCGGGCAACCCTGAGCACACCAAAATGGTCAGGGAAGACCAGCAAGAAATTGTTGACCGGTACTTGGCAAAGCTGAAGACGGCCTTTGCAAGTGTCGCACCTACTACTAGGTGGTTCTGCAACCGCCGCAACTCGCCGCTGTTCGCGATGATGTTCGCAGCAGCAAACCCAAGGGGAGCTCCAATTGCGGTACGGATTGCAGACCATTTGCTGAAGCGTTGGTAAATCATGGCTCAGAATACCGGCATTGAGTGGACAGATTCGACTTGGAATCCCGTGACGGGGTGCCAAAAGATCAGCCCGGGCTGCAAAAACTGCTACGCCTCTCGCTTGGCGGCACGCCTACAGGCTATGGGCAATCCCCGCTACGTGAACGGATTCGAGGTCACCTTGCACCATGATTTGGTGACACTTCCGACGAAATGGGTCAAACCCCGAAAGATCTTCGTCAACTCAATGAGTGACCTGTTTCACGACGAAGTGCCTCTGGGCTTCATCCAGTCGGTGTTTTCCACCGTCGTCGTCGCCGACCACCACACCTTTCAGGTCCTGACCAAGCGGCCAGAGCGCGCCCTGGAGATGGCTGACGAACTTCCATGGCCGGAAAACCTTTGGATGGGTGTCTCGGTTGAAAATCCAGACTACTTGTACCGTGTGGACACGCTCCGCTGTATTCCGGCGCAGACGCGGTTTCTGTCGTTAGAGCCACTGATAGAAGCCATCCCGGACATTAACTTGGACAGCATAGACTGGGTAATTGCTGGTGGCGAATCAGGGCCAAAGGCGAGGGAAATCGAGGAGGCTTGGGTTCAGAGCATCCGTGACCAGTGTGACGATGCAGGAGTGCGTTTCTTCTTCAAGCAATGGGGCGGGACTAACAAAAAACGCAATGGACGGATGCTGGACAACAGAACGTGGGACGATTTCCCTCTCGTCAAATCTTGTCCACCTGCTGACGTAAATACTGTCCTGACAGGCAGGCTACAAACCGGCGTAGGTCTCCGTTAGAGACTGCAGAATGCCGAAACGAGATTCGTAGCAGCGTTGATCGCTTTCTGCCGTCCTTCGGCCAAATCGCGAGTAGCGAAATCGCCTCCAAATCCGCAACTGCTTGCAACCCCGTGCACATACCAGATAGTCACGGATTTGGATAATGACGCTACCCTGTGCAAAATATGGCCTGACCCGGCGATTTTGAACATCGGGCATAGCATATACAACCGCGACACTCTCAAAAGATGGTCCATGAGGCAACCTCGGAGACGTTGCAGACCGGTGTAGTAAGGTTTTCAATGCCGCGCAGGGAAGGGATCCGGTTCAGAAGATCAAAGTATGTTGGCTCGAGAATGATGACGCTACCGCTATTCAGGACCTACTCTAATCCACCTGGTCTGATCTGAGGTCAGGCTCAGTAAGATCAGAGGAGGAATCCGTTGACGCTTCACCGACCACCGCCGGCGTAGCCGGACTTACACGGTCTCCACGTCCTGACACCGGGAAGCTCAAACCCGGCCAGCTACTCAAATTTACAGCGGCGTTGTAATCGCGTTCGTTCAACGCTCCACAGCCACCACACCGCCACTCCCGGTCAGACAGCGTCAGGTCCTCGTTTTTCCAGCCGCAATGTGCGCACAGCTTCGACGACGCATACCACCGGTCCG